TCTATCCCATTGATTAAACGTTTTTTAAATGTTTTTTAAACCTTTTTTGCAATGAAAAAAAACGTTTAAAAAACGTTTAAAAAACAATTCTCTGCTGATTGGGTCGTATAGCATAATAAGCTTCTATTATCAGGTGCGGATAGGATTTCTTCAAGGACTTGAAACCTGCAGTGTCCATCACATCCGTATATGTATTAATAAAATCTATCGCTTTTGCTTTTAGCTGATCGGCACTATGGAGTTCGGCAAGGATTTCGGGTATTAGGATTTCGGCCGCATTTTCAATGGTTAAACTTTTGCAAAGGGCTTCCTGGCACAATACTTTCAGTGTATTTAGCTGGTACTTATCCGACGCAGCTAAACCGTCCGCCATCTTTTCCAGATTCGTCGCTTTACCAGTGTAAATAAATCGCAACATTTCTTCCAGGACTTCGGGGTCCATATCGTCGATGTCAACTCGATTAGTTTTTTCTCTTTCATCTCGTTTTCAAGCATTACGTTGAAGACGGGACTTTGTGCTACGAGAATTGCTTTATGCACCTGGAACTCCTTTCCATGAACAGTAAACGTTACGTCGCAAAATTTTTTGTTCTGCAACAGCAGTCCTAAGTTGTTGAGCAGCTCACACTCCGATACTTCCAACCATACTGCATGACTTCGGTCAGAGATATTTCTCGTGTCTGTTAATAGGCTGATCTCACATAATATTGTATTCGCTAGCGATCCATTAGCTTGAGTATTGATATAGACAAAGTTATCATAGCCCCATTCATCAAATTTGTGTTGGCAATAATTATAATCAGAACGGTGTCCATCCAATCCAGACTGAATGAGAGTACAGTCAGCTTTATTAGCACAATAATTAATAAATTCATAAATAGAACTGCTCTCTTTTGTATGTATAACTTTCTCTGTGGCATTAAGAAAAGACAATTTGAACTTTGCTGAGACTGTACGTTTCTTAGATGAAATAAGAACAAGATATAATGACAGGTTCTTGTCAGCCGTCGTGTAGTCCATGCCAGAAAATAAGTTTACTACCAGACACCATTTTGACTCGTCGGTGGTAGAAAATATACTCGACCTGATCTCACTCCGGTTCGTATGACAATAAGGGAAATTATTTAGCGTCCACTTGTAGCTGATGTTCTCCATTTCTACATAACTCCAGCCCTGTGTCTCTTTCACAACGGAATTAGTATTTCTCTCCGATGGTAAATCTGCAACGTAGTGCTTCGCCATTCTACTGCTGCTGCACGAATTTGAAGTGATCTACGATGTCTGGGGCACACAGTTGTCCACCACAAGTTTGTTAGCACAGTTCGTCTGATTTCAGCGATATCACTCAAGAAAGTGCACACGAATGAATACCCAGAAGATTCGAGAACTTTTCTATACCCTACAACCAACCAACATTTAAAAATATTCGTTTGTCGTGCGACAAATGAAATATTATCCTAAGAAGATATCATAGGTATAAGGAATACCTTTTTTTTTTTAAGGATAGAGGAGTGCATTGCGGCTCCCCGAATATGAAGGCCTGCAGGGATTTTTACAGGGATTCGTCATCATCCTCCTCGGCTTCACCCTCTTCTGATGGATGCTCAGAGATTAAAGGCACAGGTAATGTCGACATGCTCCTCTGCATCGTGGTCAAAGCCTGAATCATCTCCAGAAGCATACAAAGAAGACATTTCCTCTCTTCCCCAATTTGATACCAGAAATGCTGGTGAGGTATGCGCTCCATTGATGGCAAGGTACTCCAAGAACTTGTCCTCCTTGAAGTGAGAGGCCTCAGGCTGCAGCCAGGTTCTCTTGTAGAGAAGGGCTTTCTTTCCTCTCAGCTCCCACAAAGAGGCCCCTGTCAAGCTGGCGAGGTTTAGTCAAATGACAGACTCCTTCACTCCAAAGCCACGCAAGATACTACGCTGCGCCTCCGTGAATATGAGGTAAAGACAGGACTCCTCTTGGCGATCAACAAATAGATGCAGGGTGCATCCCGATGGAGATAGAAACAGCGGAACGGAACAGTAACGGAAAGGTAACTAGATGAAAGGCTAACCAATCAGAATGATTCCGTTCCGCTTTTTCATAGCCGGTTTCCCCATGGCAGACATTTTAGCGGAACGGAACGAAAACGGATAATACATAACCCGTGTCCGAAAATGATTAGAACGTCACTTACTTTCAGCGAATATAATGAACAACTATTTACAATATTTACAGAGTGCTAATGTTCGGGGGTTCTCCCCGCGCGTATCGGAGAGATTTGGTAGCGAGATCCGCGAGCAGCGAAAGTCCGACAGTTCACGCGAAGTAGGAAAAGCCGATCGGTTGCAATCTTTTGACACACAGAACAAAAACGTTAAGCGAGACTAGATTTCGCGCAAAGAGCAAGGTGGCCAGTGTGCCCACTCTTTTATACTATAAAGGCTTTGTCAACACAACTAGAGAGCCTCTAGGAGAGAGAGGCGCCAACTCGTCACGTGACCAGCCCTTCCGCGATTGGCTGGCAGAACTTGAACAGAGATTTCTATTGCGACGCCAATGCATAACAGATGTGATAGAAACTGATGACATGAAACGTGTGAGGTTAGCGATCGTTGGTCATAATTAGTTATTTCTAAACATTGTAATATATTTTTTTATATCACAACATTTTTAACACGATAGAAGGTAAGTATCTATATAATAAAAATTACAATTTATTTCAAAAAATAAATTTTAAGGAATTTACATTTAAGCGTTAAAACTATATGTTTATTGCAGGCTTAGAGAATATTCTTGTTTTCTGAAATAAATATTAAAAATTGATTTGTTAATTTTGTCAATATAAAAACGTTTTTGTCAGATAATTTGTATACATATATTACAGACAACATTCGCTATGCTATCAAGTCGCTCTGCATATAAATGTTGCAACACAAGCAATAAAGAATACTCATTATTTACATATCCACGTGATAATACATTAAAACAAAAATGGATTACTGCGGTTGGAAGAGGCAAGAACTGGTCACCTAGCAGTTCTCAAAAACTTTGTGAAGTAATGTGCAGTAATGTGCAGTATGCTCTAACTTTGCACTTCAAAAGATGTAACAATATAATTTATTGTTCGACTTAAAGTATGTTTATATTTGTCTTCTTTTAGGTACACTTTATGCCATTAGAAATTGAGTTTATTGGGCGCAAACAAGTGAAACTGGATTCAATTCCTTCTCGTTTCTGTACGTGCCAATTGTTATTGAAAGAGCCAGCCATCAAGAAGCAGCAAGCAAATTAAGCCATCAATAGCCTTAAATATTAATAATACGTCCAGTAAAAAGACTTGTTTTAAAATGAAACGGGGAACATCGGTCCAACTTCAGCATGGCTGTGTGTATAAGACTTCCAAACCATTAACCATGGAGGAAATACAAACTACTGCGAAGTCTCAAGAAATTGATACAGAACAAATATATGGATGAAATGAAAAAAAAATACGCAGAGAAAATGGTATGTTGAGAACAGTTGTTTCCCTCCTAAGTCTTTTTACTGGACGTATTATTAATATTTGAGACTGTTGATCGATGGCTTAATTTGCTTGCTGCTTCTTGATGGCTGCTCTTTCAATAACAATTGGCACGTACAGAAACGAGAAGGAATTGAATCCAGTTTCACTTGTTTGCGCCCAGCAACAAACTCAATTTCTAATGGCATAAAGTGTACCTAAAAGAAGACAAATATAAACATACTTTAAGTCGAACAATAAATTATATTGTTACATCTTTTGAAGTGCAAAGTTAGAGCATATACTGCACATTACTGCACATTACTTCACAAAGTTTTTGAGAACTGCTAGGTGACCAGTTCTTGCCTCTTCCAACCGCAGTAATCCATTTTTGTTTTAATGTATTATCACGTGGATATGTAAATAATGAGTATTCTTCATTGCTTGTGTTGCAACATTTATATGCAGAGCGACTTGATGGCATAGCGAATGTTGTCTGTAATATATACAAATTATCTGACAAAAACGTTTTTCTATCGACAAAATTAACAAATCAATTTTTAATATTTATTTCAGAAACCAAGAATATTCTCTAAGCCTGCAATAAACATATAGTTTTAACGCTTAAATGTAAATTCCTTAAAATTTATTTTTTGAAATAAATTGTAATTTTTATTATATAGTGTTAAAAATGTTGTGATATAAAAAAATATATTACAATGTTTAGAAATAATTAATTATGACCAACGATCGTTAACCCCACACGTTTCATATCATCAGTTTCTATCACATTAGGGCTACGTTCAGAAATACCCGAGTACCCCAGCGTATCGTTCTATCCTTGTTACTCACCGTATGTTAAACAAGGATAGAATGATATACTGGAGCACTCGGGTGGTGTTTCTGAACGCGGCCCTGTTATGCATTGGCGTCGCAATAGAAATCTCTGTACAAGTTCTGCCAGCCAATCGCGGAAGGGCTGGTCACGTGACGAGTTGGCGCCTCTCTCTCTCCTAGAGGCTCTCTAAACACAACACATGATTACGTGTTAAGCCCGCTGCAGACGATGCTATTTTTCCTGCTGGATTGCTTGCGATTTACTAAATTACTAGGAATCCTGAGTGCTGAATGGTGCAACGATAGTAATTTATTAGATCGCAAGCAATCCAGCAGGAAAAATAGCATCGTCTGCAGCGAGCTTTAGACCAGGCAAAGTGGAGGCAACGAGCAGTCCAAGTTATACATATTAAGCCCGCTGCAGACGATGCTAATTTTCCTGCTGGATTGCTTGCGATTTACTAAATTACTAGGAATCCTGAGTGCTGAATGGTGCAACGATAGTAATTTAAGCCCGCTGCAAACGATGCTATTTTTCCTGCTGGATTGCTTGCAATTTAGTAAATTACTAGGAATCCTGAATGCTGAGTGGTGCAATGATAGTAATTTACTAAATTGCAAGCAATCCAGCAGGAAAAATAGCATCGTCTACAGCGGGCTTTAGTCAAAGATATAACCATGGGCTGCTAGTGCTAACTTCACGTTGTCAGACAAGATGTGGGGCGACACCAATGACCAAGTGGTTGACGCAGGAACTAAGGGTGCCGTCCCATGGCGCGTATCGCGATACGCGCGTATCAGGCGTATCGAACTCTACGACCAATCACAGACAATCCGCTGTTTTTCGTACGCCGGAGTTTGGCCCCTACTGTCCCATGGAGCGGATTACGCGGAAGCGGACCAGCGGATCGCCAATCACGGAATCTTTCTGATAGAGCCCTTTCAAGATTCCGTTGAAACGGATCCGTGGATTGGCGATCCGCTGGTTACGCTTCCGCTTAATACGCTCCATGGGACAGTAGGGGCCTCCGGCGTACTGAACACACGCACACACACACACGCATGCACTTAAAAAGTGAAGTCTTCACAAGTCGGTTGTTTATAACCTCATACCAGTTACGACATTACGAGTTCATTTAAGCTACTAAGCATAGTTAAGTTTCAAGCTCTATCCCGATAAAAACAGCACGTGAAATCCACGTTATTGCTGCGTGAAATCCACGTATGATTTCACGAACTGTTTTTATCAGGATCTAGTAGCATAATCGTAAACATATAATCGAGAGCGAAAATGCATCAATTTTAAATTATCTATTATTTTATCAATCTGATAAAAATAAGATTCTTTACAGTAAGATTCTAACAGTTATGTTACTGTTGCTGTGTGTTTGCTGGGAATGTTGGGCTTACTATCAATATGTCACCTAACCTAACCCAAGAAGGAGGGCTCTCGACCTTAGAACATATATACCTGGAAGGGGAATGCCCTATACTTCCCGTGGAAAAGATCTGTGTCCAAGTTGGGTGCGAGAGAGAAAGGTAGAGATTAACCTTTGCTCGCAATGCGCAAGCGTAGAGATGACGTCACGTCACGTTCCCCTATTGGGGAATAGGGAATTGAAATGTGTCCGGAGGAAACAGCACGGTGAACGTGACGTGACGTCATCTTTACGCTTGCGCATTGCGAGCAAAGGTTAATCTCTACCTTTCTCTCTCGCACCCAACTTGGACACAGGCTCAAGCCTTCATTCCCCTTCCAGGTATATATGTTCTAAGCTCTCGACCCACACGTACGTTACGATGTACATGTGTGAGTGTGCGATCCGCTCGAATATTGTTCAGCGGATTGTTGAGCGTATCAAAAACGGCGGATCGTCCGTGATTGGTCGACGAGTTGATACGCCCGATACGCGCGTATCGCGATACGCGCCATGGGACGGCACCCTAAAGGTGCAATTTC